GTTGAATACTGTACTTGTTTGTCTAATAAGCAGCATGAGGAAACCATAGGAGGGCCTCTTCAGGGAATAATTTAAATCAGGGGTGGGCAGTCTGTCCCACGGGTCGATTTCAGCCCATGGCAGGCTCCATTTCCCAGCAGCCCCTGCTGCTGGTTTCCATGGAGAGCCCCAGAGGGGCGAGGCTGTGACAGCGCAGGGTTTCCAAGGAGACCCATCCAAGCACCACTGGCAGGGCGCACAGCAGGGTGGCAAGCCAGTCCTGGGCTGAGGCCAGGATTTTGCAGTGATGACAGCATGGTCTGGAGCTGTGGTACAGCCACGATCTGCTCCCTGCATGCTCCTATCCAGGGTGTGCAGGCAGTGGATCACGGCTTTGCCCCAGCTCCAGACCACGCTGACACCACCACAAAATCCTGGCCCCAGCCCCAGAGCAGCTCCTGGCCCAGCAGTACGCCCTGCCAGCAGTGCTTGGGTCAGTCTCCTTGGAAACCCTGGCGCTGTGCAGTCACAGCCCCGCCCCCCCAGGATCTCCATGGAAACTAGCTCAATGACATAGGCAGGGGCTGCTGGGAAATAGAGCCTGGACACTGGCCAGATCTACCATTTTGCCCACCCCTGGTTTAAATCCTGAAGGCTGAAATTTGGAGAAGGCTGCTGGAATACAAGGGCATATAATGGCCCAATTGGAATGAGGTCAGTGAACTTCAGGATTCAAAAAGGCATTGAACTACCACTGAAAATAAAGAAGAAACCTCAAAACCTGGTATAGATTCCTGCTCTGTATTTATCTCCTAGTTATTTTTCTCCATTGTATCATACACATTTTCAAGCAACAAACTACATACCTCCTATACCTCCCAAGCACCAGACTTTTCTCCAGACCCAGATGCCAGCTGAACTCCCTCATCAACACAGACCACATCATCACTGGACCAACTAACATGAATTATACATCAGAGGTTCATTCACTTGCAACGCGACCAGTATCATATACACCATCACCTGTTTCCAATACCCCTCTGCTGTCTGCATTGGACAGACAGGGCAATCCCTACATGTAAGAATGAATGAACACCAATTTAACATCAATTCCAGACAGACAGACAAGGCTCTGGCAGAACATTTTAGCCTCCCTGGACACATCCCATCACTAACCTCAGAGCAGCTGTTCAGAGAAAACAAAACTTTAAAACAAACCTGAACAGGAAAATGGCAGAATATGAAATTATCCATAGACTGGATTGTGTTGAGTATGGTCTAACACACGACTACAGGTTCTTATCCCATTATCTAAATTAGCTTTTACAACCCCTATGTCCTTCAATGGGCTAATGCTTTGTTTTTCTCTCTCGTATGAACCTTGCCTCTCCCAGCAGCATCCTTTCCTTTTTTCCTCCCACTTCCCTACCCTTTGTATTTTAATCACTACTTTCTATTCAGAAGTTCAGCTTCCTGCAGCCCCTTCATAGCACCTGATAAAGTAAGCCGTTGCCTATGGAAGCTTATACATCTATAATTTAGTTGGTCTGTAAGCTTATACATCTATAATTTAGTTGGTCTGTACAAATCTACCCTGCTTTCTGCCTGACATGCAGGGTCTTCCAGTGACTTTCAGTTCTAATTTTCACAACTTGTGAATACCAAGAATGCAAACAACCTGAAAAACAAATATCCCTGTTCAAAAAGGGCCCACAGAGGAGAACCAGAGGCACTGCTCTGAAATGTTTGACTCACTCAATAGAGGTATCTTTTATGGAACTATAGGGACAAATGAGGAGAGATGATAGGGTAAGGTAGCTCATACCTCTTAAACCTATTGTTTTAGGCTGTCTACAGACACAGGAAGATAGGACTGTGGCTGTTACACTTAGGTTCACATTTTAAAAATTCTCTTTGCAATCAGAAGAGCTAGAAATTTACTTTTGTATTAAAAGTAAAATTAAATGTTATTGTGTAAGTCTAGGATCTGGAGCTCTAGACATGGGCTGACAGTACCTATGTTTTAATCCTGCCCTGCTGATAGTCTTTGTCATTTCCTTGACTGTATGGGGATTTGCCCACACAACAACAGCAACACTTCTCCAAACAATAACATACGTTAAATACAATCACTCACCCTTTGGCCTGGTGGTCCTGGTAGGCCTGGTAGTCCTCTCTTCCCAGGATCACCCTTAATAATTTAGGATAAGTTTCATTAGTCCACAGTAATGACTTAGATAGCAGCTGCATATTCAGGCAAGCAGTAAGTAAGAGTAAGGCAACTAAAACGAAAGGCGAAGTAGCTGGTCTGAAAACAGGAATGCTCAAATTCAGGAATTCAACTTTCATAGTGAGAAATAACCTTAATTAGGAAGGAGAGAGGTTGTGCTCATTTGTATCTTATGCCTTCAAATTTCTCCTAGGAACAGGAAGTACTTTTCAAGCATACGACTTAAGTATTTGGCTATGAGGATAAACACTACAAAAAATCCTATACTCAATGAATAAAGATATCATACATTAAGAATCTCTTTGAATAACCCAAATGCTAATCCTAAGAAATATTTAGCAACAGTTCTATTCAGTGATATGAGACAGATAGAAGTCCTTTGAAAAAATAATTTATGACTCTTGTAGTAAAATACTTTAAAAGATATAATGCACACAACAGTGCAAAGTTACAGTTCTACAGATAGTCTTAATGTTGTCATTTCCTAAATTTTAGCAGCCCTTTTTACAAATCTAGGAATCCTTTCCTGCAGTGTTTGGCTGGTTTTTGTGGGGGAGGTTGGCTGTTTGTTTTTTGTATGCAGGGAAAACAACACATGTTTTTAGCTGCTGGTACAGTGTTGTTAACCCCTGTTTGCTGGCTAGAAGCAGTTCTGGGAAATAAAGTAGAAATAAATGCACATTTCTGGCAAACAGTTTGGTACTTACAGGTGGACCAACACGGCCAACTTCACCAGGAAGTCCTGCTGCACCAGGGGGACCCTATAACAACCAAATAAAAGACATATTTATAAATTATTTCCAATAATGTGTACGGAAAATATCCAATCACATAAGAGAAATATTTTTGCAAAACAGAACAGCAAAAAAAAAAAAAATTCAATAGAAACACACATGTATAGTTGCCCTGAATACACCAACAGGTCTAAAATGTTAATTAAAAATGGTGCATATTAATAAAGAATATCAAAACTAAAATAATCAGCATATGGGCTGTGAAACATGATACTTACAGCTGATCCAAGAATTCCCTTACCCTGTAAAAAAAGAAAATTTGCTGAGAAGTTTTCTGACAGTTAATCTGATTGGATGGTGAAGGTAGGAACATTTTTCATGATCAAACACAAAATCACAGTAATTCCTTCAGCAACTGAATAGCAAAGCATTAGTAGCTTGACACTAATTTGATCAATATTTTGGTAATTTTCACTGATATTGAATATCAAATATAGAGTTTGTTATGCAATACCTGATTTCAGAAAGCAATGGAAATAATTCTGTTGATTGACTAAGCTAACCTGCAGCCACGTGAATTTATAGACACACAATAAAGTAAGTTTCAAAGGGTTAAAAGCATTAATTCTTTTAGGCTTGACTATTTATCAAGCACTGAAACCCATAACAAAAGCTATACCCTGATGCTACCTCAAAAACATGTAAATGAACAGTCACTGAAAACAAAGGAGAGAAACAAAGAAGAAAAAAGCCTTCTAAAACCAGTAATCCATGCTTCCAGATGAGCAGGATAAGCTGTTCCTGTCTACATTTTCCTTAGATTTGGGCTTCATAATTTTAAGGAGAGATGCCCAAGAAACAAATATTATTCTTCCATCTTGGTATAAGATATTTCCCCTAATACGTTTGAATCTAAATTCTGCAAATACTTAAGCATGTGCCATTCAAGTCAATGAAACTGCCAACACGTAAAGCTTCATGCATGCTTAAGTCATTGCAAGACAAGAATATAAGAACTGTCATAGACTGGGTCATACCATGGGTATGACAGTATCCTGTCTCACAGAGAGAGGGGGTGGGAAAGAATATTGACGTGGAAGGGTAAACAGGCAAAGCCCAAAATTTTCTACCTCCTGCTCCTCCCACAGCAGCATTCCAGCAGTTGGGAGCCACAACTACCCCCAAACGCTGGAGAAAAAAAGGACACTGTTAAATCACCTGGGTGGGACAGTGCTTGCAAACCACAGAACACTGCACACAGATTTCTCTTCAAGGGTAGCGTTAGAAGAATTTGAAGAATAAAGGAAGAATTTCAATTATATCAATAACGCAATTCAGTTCCATTTTACCCTTCTAATACAAAGCAATAAGTAACCTTTCTTTCTTGTCTACACTATTTAATGTATCTTTCCCTCAGCTGTTAGATAACTCTTACATGTTGCGATTCAGACCTGTAATATAGCCATACCATAATACTATATACAAGGGAAACCTTATTACTTTCCATTCAATAAAAATTCCCACTTCTTCATATACGCATTTCTACAGTCACATGCTGACAGCACGTATCTGCAGGAGGGATCTGTTATCATAATGCAGCCTCCCTTCAGAAGAAAAGTAACTGCTTTCCTAAAGGCTCTGTGAATTCCCTTTAAAATTTTCCTTTTAATCACTTTATTGCTAGGAACTAATAGTATTTCCTAGTATTACAATACTGGTCATACCTCTAATACAATGCCTAGTGATAAAAGAAAATGTCTGAAAGGTACCCACTATATGTTATTTAGCCAGTTGTACCTGCTGGGAAAAATTTCAGGTGAAGAAGAACTTGTGCCCATTACTTAAGAATGATTTTCAAAGTGCCCCTGAGTATTGTGTTGTAGCTGTCAGGCAGGCCAGTGAAACTGTGCTTCTGCTGGACACCACTAGAGAAACAGCAATACATTGTCTGAAACTGTTTTCCCAGAATGGGTCCTTCATCTAAAAGGACCAGATAAATTCCCATCTGTAAACTAAGTGTGAAACTGGGATGAATGGCATATATTTAATATGAATACAGTGTTCTAACTTTTCAGACAATAATAAATATGTCACTTACTGGAAGCCCACGAGCTCCGGGTAATCCAGGTTCACCCTAAAAAGTAACACTGGCATTATTAGAGTGTCAAGCTCAATTATCATGCTTACTGTTGCACACAACATACAAGAAAATACAATCCTTCACTCTGGGCAGCTACCAGCAAAAAGGCATAGTCTGCAATCCTTCCTCACTTTGACTAACACTTACTTGAGCCATCCTTTTAAAATTATACAATCATAAGAAAACAGGCCTCTGGAAGGGACCTTGGAAGTTTAGCTAGTCCAATCCTCTCCTCAGGGGAAAGGCATGCCTGTTTAACACCTAGAAAGTATTTGTCTAACCTGCCTCTAAAAATGTTGTGGAATCTCCATTACTGGACTTCCCTAGGCAGTCTGTTTCACTATTTAGCTACTATCGATTAAAATAAAGGAAAGCAATGTTTAGTGTAAGAAAAGGCTGTAAATAAATATTGGCCTTATTTTCAGGGGAAAAAATGAACATTTTGGTTATTCTGCCTTCCTATGATACATGTTCTACATGTGAATTAGAGATTAACTCAGATTTTCCAGCTGTAATTGTCCCAGTATTATAAAGTCTAATCATGCAAGATAAAGAATACCCTATAAGAAATGCTCAACATGACCACCAGTATCTGGGGGAATGTTTGTTCACCAGAGCGCCCCAAGGGATGATGAGGTTGAACAGTCATAAACTACTACAAGACCATCTCAGGCTGGACATAAGGAAGAATTTCTTTACTGTCCGAGCCCCCAAGTTCTGGAACAGCCTGCCATCGGAGGTAGTTCAAGCACCTACATTGAACACCTTCAAAAGCAAATTGGATGCTTATCTGGCTGCGATCCTATGACCCCAGCTGACTTCCTGCCTTTGGGCAGGGGGCTGGACTCAATGATCTTCCGATGATGACCTTCCAGCCCTAATGTCTATGAAATCTATGAAACTCCTAGTAAAGTCAGTGGGAACTGAAAGGCTTCAGTACTTCATAAGGAGGACCTAGCATAGGAGTGGGCAATTATTTGGACTGGAGGGCCGCTTAGCAGGGTTTGGTGAGCTGTGGCCTAGGTAAGTACCCCTCTCCCTGCCGCCGGGTCAACACCCCACCCCCATCCCTGGCTCTGGCCCTCAACAGGTCACCAAAACTCCCTACATGGTAGATTACTGGACCAGCCCAGGACTCCTGCAGGCTGGGCAAGGTCAGCCAGGAGATGGGATAGGATGGGGCCGCAAGCGAGCGGTGCATGGCATCCAGAAGCAGGATGGATGGCAGTGCTGGAGCCAGGATCACAGGCAGGTGACAGCACAGGGCCGAGGTAGAGCTGTGATCCACACCCCACATGACAGATCATGACTGGTCCAGCCTGGGGGAGGGGCAGAGTGCAAACCTGTGACCCAACCTCAGCTTCCCTTGCCCAAACACAGGCACACTGTATAGCGCAATTGTGGAGCAGCACAGCCCAGCGGCACAGGGCGAACCCAATGGATCATGACCAGGCTAGGTAGCTAGATAAAATCCCTTGGCAGGCTGCATCCTGCTTGTGAGCTGTATTTTGCCCACTGCTGGACTAGCAGAATCAGGATCCATTCCATTTAACAATGCTAAATTTAAGGAAGGAGAAAGAATTTCATTAGCTTCATTAAAATGATCACATTTGCCTGTGGAAAAAAAAATATTACAAAATTGAACAAGTAGCCTTAATCTTACCTTTTGTCCTTTTCGACCAGATGGGCCAAATGATCCATCAGGTCCTGTCAGTCCCTTAAGAAGTTAGGTGTAATATGTTTATAGAATGCTAATATGTTTTTTGTTAAAACAAAACAATGAAACTATCACACAAAATAGTTAGCAAATGTTTCAGGAAATTTAGAGAGCAAATATCTAATTAGATAAAGGGATAGAGTTTTTCACAATTCTATTCAATATTCAAATGTCAGAGTTCAAAAGTGTTAGTTTGTGGTTATCAGTACTAGCAATTGTGGTATGCTGCATTCAACAACTTCTTACTTAAATTCCATATTAATAAAAAGGTTATATTAAATTAGTCAAATTCCTCTAAATCACAGCCTTTTCGAACTGTTAGACTTATGATTTTCTGTGGTTTATGTTAAAAATAACAAGTTGCAATATTTTCCACCCTAAACATTTGTACCTAGGATACTGGAGCAAATTTCCAGACTATCCCAGAAGCCTACCTGAATGTTTCATAATCAGCTAAGACAGATGACCTGTTCCTGACCTCTCTCCGCTGTAATCAGCTCATTAGGAACATAGAAATTAGCATTCAATTAAACAGTCACCCCTTAAAAAAACATGTTTATCTCATTAAATGTATGCAACTAGATTCTGTTCTTCTGCTAGATACATACATACATACAAACACACTCCTAAGCATAAGGCCATATGCTGGATGTAATGCATGTACAGAAGTCACAAATGCCAAATAAGAGCTACCAACAAGTATCCAAAAAAGAGTACTGTTTATAGCTTTAAAAATTTCCCTTATGAGTTAAAGTCATCTGGGGCCATGGCCTACGCTAACACAGCTAAGTGGCACAGCTACATGTCAGCGAGGCATGAGGCTGACCCATCACAAAGACAGTTTAACCTGGAGAAAATATGTCTGCTCTGTGAAGGGTAACACAGGATGTAAATTACGTCCTCAAACGGCTTCTCCCAGAAGCTTTCTGTGAATCTTCACCTCCTCTTTTCTTCTTAAATAAACTGCAGAGCTTACAGTTGAAGGACAAAGGATAAAAAACGGGTTCTTAATAGTGAGTGGAAGCACCTGGAAGAAGGTTCTCTTCCCTCACTACTCCAGAATGTAGTAAGAAAGGACAGGAATATTTTGGTCAATAAAATTTTGCTCAGGTTATCCCACACCAGTCCATTCAAGGTTCCTGTCATGCAGCCATAAAACTGGCCTCCTCTGTGTTATTTCCAGCTTCCAGTGACCACAGTGGTGTCAGAAACGACTGGGCCATAAATTCAGTATCTGAGAAAAAGAGACTCATTGGGCTTGGTGTTGAACCTATGTGGCTGCCTCAACATAAATATGATAGTCACACAGCTTCTGTGCTGAGAAATCCCTGAATGATAGCTCCATCTAGCTGACAGGTTTGACCAGAATTTAGCCCTTAAACCATACTACCTGTCTGAGAGCAATAATTATGGCATTACAACCAGGAATGAAACTCGGGTTCATTTGTCTTCCTTTTAGTTTTCAATGTCTTAATCAACATGTGGCTTAAAACATTCAAGAAATCTACTACAAAAACCTTGTTTTTATATTTGTCCAATATTTCCCCTTTTTTGTGAATTTCCAGTAATTCAGTGTGTGACCCAGAAATTTTTCCTGTTAGTTTGATTTCCTGCAGCTTATATCATCATTATAATCACTGTGCAGTATTCTGGTTCATTTTATTAAAACTGACAGTGGAACGATTTGCAAGGAACAAGATTAAAAAGGCAGAACTGACCCAGCAATTAAAGAATGGGAGAAGACACTCTGAACTGCAAGTACAGATACATGATAGTTTGAATCCCATGCCAGATGGATGCACAATGGAAGCATAATTAGTCTTCACTATATTTGAATTTCATGGCGTCTTATTATTGGTTCCATTTTCACTTACGCCCTAAGACCAGGATACATGCAACACAAGCTCCTAAAGCAAAACAGCAGTGTTCAAGAAAATGTTGTGCATTCAGTGACTACGTTGTCATCTATTCTTGCAAAGGAAACAAAAACTGAGTTTGGCAGAAAAGGAGAAAAAGATTTTCAAATGGTTGATCTCTGCCTCTTGTGATTTGCTGTGCTGATTTGCTGATACTGACTCCATTCCAGAATAATGAATGCAATCTGGAAAACTGAAATTAACAAGATCTTTACAGGATCAGGTCCCTATAATTTTGGAATCTTAAAATTTTCAACAGAAGTATTCAATTCACCTTTGTATAAGAACTTTGCAAAACAAACAAACAAAAAACCAACTTACAGCACCATCTTACAATTTCAAATAAATTTTAGTACCTTCATTATTCATGTAGAGGATCTCTACTCCTTAAATTGCTATGTTGGGTCTTAGTTTTTTACTTGTTTTTATATGATAAATTATCCTTCTGCCAATTATACAAAATAAATCTCAGTACACTTAGACCCTGGCACAAGATGCAAGTACCAGTATGCAAAAAGAAGCAGTTTATAAACATTGACCTCCAAAGAACAACAATGAAAAGTTTCCCCAAATGTATAAATAATGTTTCCACTGCCAGTATATTTTTTCAAGGGATTAATGTTACTTTTCCTATTCCCTTGAATTGTTGTTCTTTTGGTCCTAGGAGGTTCTTTTCCCATGGAAAAACTAAGTCATAAAGGAAGTAACAACCACTGGGGATGGACTGATGTCTTTGTTTCACAATAACGGACACTGAAGTTATAGTTTCTCTTAAGATCTCATTTCTCTTAGATGCACTGTTAAAGTTCACCCTTATGTTCCAGTTCAATAAGGCATAATCATTCACTTGATCCCAGTTCACAGCCTCACTTGAAATGTAAATATGACTCCCCTCCCTTTACAAGGTCATCATTGCTATCAAAGAATAAAAAAATCCAATTGGGAAAAATGTTTATATTGTATAAATCTATTCTAATGTATTAAGTAATACAGATAAAGAAACAATCATCTGCCTGGGTCTTTAAATAGATTTATGTTTTCAGATAATATTTTGATTGCCCCCAAAATAGTTATATTATGTGTGCATATTTTTATATATAAGCAAATAATAAAAGTACTCATGCAGTGACAATGAGGTCAAATTAAGCCTTTCCACTGCTTTGTGTCTTGCACCAAGTTCATGGCTTCATCCAACTTTAAACCTTTTTGCTTTATGACAGTCTTCACCATATCTATTCAATAAATCCTCAGTTTTCCAGTTTTTCATTCCTTGTACTCAGCTTGCATGTCCTAAGTCCATTTTGACACATCCAAATGATCACAGCCATCCTTCCTCAACCTTCTGCAACAGCATTCTTTCCTAACCTATTTATTCCCTTGATTTTATTTTTTGCAGTTTTTAAATTCTTAATATTTCCCTCAACTAACTCTCTTTGACACTTAATTTTTTTTAATTGGCTTTCCTCATACTCCAGCATTACAACCCATCCAAAACAACTGACATATCAGCTGCCTTATATAGACTTATTTTTATTTTACTGAAATATCTTTAGCTCTCCAAATCTTGCAGATGATATTGACCTCATAGCAAGAATATACAGACAAGAACTAATGAAGCAGACCACGAAAGCAGAAAATCTGAACTGAAAAGCAGTATGGAAAATACAAAAAAAAGGCAATATGAAGAAATAAAGCCAACTAAAACAAGTGGAAAAAAGTGTCCACCATGAAGTAGTATCAAAAAGGATATAAACAGAAGAATGCGATAAGATGCTGTTGCATTTGGAAGAGTCTTTAATGATCTGGATGTCTAAAAATTATATGCAAGTGAGTATGTATTTGCTGTGTCACATGTTTGAGAGAGTTATGCTTTTAAGTGGTTCACAGAAACAAGTAATATTACCCTTTTTTTACTGTTTAAATTGAGGAAGGGGCCAATGGTTTTTAAAAGCTATCTATAGCTATATGCCTATAAACAGAATATAGCTATAGATATATATACACACAGATATATATACATACCTATATATATTTGTGTATGTGTGTAAATACATACATGCACATATGTATACATACATATATATATTCACACACGTCTTAGAGTCACTTACTGATGTCATACGCAGGGCTATGTCAGACTATGAAGGGCTGTGTATTTGCCCTACCACATGTGTAAAAGATTTATGTGCTTACAAGTACTTCCTGGAAATAAGTGCTGTTCCTTCTTCACTGATTCACTTGAGGAAGGGACCAATGGTTTTAAAAAGCTATATGTGCGTGTGTGCTTCTATATATTACATATCATATACATGTATGTGTGTGTATATAGGTAAGCAACCATCCATCTTCTAGATCAGCATTTCTCAAACCATGGGTCATGACCCAAAAGTGAGTCACAAGAATATATTAAAGAGTTGTAAAACACCCATCCCCTGCCCCACACACTGGGGGCTGGGGCCTGGCAGCACTGGGTTGGGCCTGGCCATCAATGTTTACAAATTACTCCCAGTACAGAAAAGGTTGAGAACCACTGCTCTAGATCAGGGGTTTTCAACTGGGAGTACACGTACCCCTGGGAGTACTTGGCATGGCCTCAGGGGGTACTTCTGCCGCTGCTGTCCCTCTGTGCCGCTGGCATGCTCACCCATCTTCCAAAAGGGACCCTCCTCCCCAGCTTGTCGACTGGCCACCAGGGGACTCCTTCCCTCTCAACAGGCCTTTTTGGGTACTCTGACCCAGAAAGGTTGAAAACCCCTGCTCTAGATCATGGTATATGCGCACAAGGTCTGATGAATCACTTGCAGCTGACAAGGCCAATTCCCAGAGGGACACAGTTTTTTTTTTTACAAGTTTCACAGATCCATGCCTCCTCCGCATGGGTGACTGGTGCTTCCTGAGTCAGGGGGGCACTTGTCCCCTCAGCAGTCACTCAGACACTGGGCGGGGGAGGTCCCCCCGCGGCCAATTGTGTCAACCCAGAAGTGCCAGCAGCACACCTGGAAAGGGGCCCAAGTTTACAGCACTCTGCTTTCTTCCTTCTCCAGTCACTTGTATCCTCTGGATCAAAGCAGCTTCCAGCGGTCGGTGCTGCTCCGTCCCCACCCGTCTCTATCCATTCACACGTCGCGTTGGAAAGCCACCGGCCCTTCCCCAGCCGAATCAGGAAGACGGCGCAGCCTGGTCCCCCCTCTCGCACAC